CCGACAAACTCTACGGTAGCATGCAACACGTTGTTTTGGGACCCGCAGTTTCAAGCGCTCAGGGTCCTAAGACTGGCTCTATACTCATAGCGGCAGAACAGCTGGAGATCGCGCGCAGTCGAGGTGCGCGGGCGAGTGACGTCTCGAGGCTGCCCCCCACTGATGTTGAGGAGGTGATGTCACAGCTTGGACCCTTGTTCGGCAAATGAGGTCCGACGGCCAATCAGGTGGTGCGCTAGACATTGGGCTACCACTATCGCTGCCCTGAGATCGTCTGGTGCCTCACCTGCGTCTGTTTCACATGTCAGCTCGAGCTATTCGCCGTGGCAGAGCATGATAGAGTTTCCGCTATTGCACGTTCTCTCTATCGATGGCAGACGGCCATAGCCATGTGTGCGTACGCAAGGCTAACAAGAGGAGGCGCTAAATTAGAATTATGCATACCATGCTGCGTTTGGATTACTAATTAGGCTATACATGCACGCCCTTTAGAAAAATCTTGTCATAACACCAGCAGGTTGCATACTACGATTAAATCGAGTGAGCGTTTTTCGTACTAACGTGGCTGTCGTGATCTATGCACTGCTGTGGTAGGTAAAGTTGAGTTTTCCCCTCGAAGGGCGTGCATATACATTGCTATCAATAACTCTCCTGTCCTGTCTCGTTCAGCATTCCGGGACACTTTGAGACAATTGAGCATCGCCTTTTCGACTACTGCGCGTTCGATTTATGACCTACGCGCAAGCTTTGATATGCGCATACATGCGCGCTCCAAGTGTTACTCCATCTTTGACATCGCGACAGAATTGTCGCCTTATTGTGCTTCTCAAACGACGCGCCAACCATCAATGGGGCACAATCTGTCGCTAAGGGAAATGTGCTGGTGTAGATCACATCTACGAGTAGCGAAACGTGTGCTTCATTTCGATATGTGAGGTTGTACTCATTCCCCTGAGATGCTTGAACAAGACTGGAACACAATAAAGGCAGAGGAAATAGTAGGAAAGCAGATTCGGAAGAATTCTAAGTTGCGTTAAAGATCCTCTCTAGAACTAAATGATGTATAGTACCCATATCCTGCTGTGCATGTGTGCGCTGCGCGCTACTACCCTGGGGCTTCCCGAATTCCTTCAATGCAAGCATCACTCTAGATTCTGCAAAAGAACAGAAGCTGTCCCTAGTCAATCTCTTTATCAAAAAAGCCTCTACTCTTTCTCGATCGGTCATCATCCATCTCCTGAGGTTGTCAGGTGTATTCGGCATACCACCCGGAAACCAAAACTTCCCGCACAACTCCCATAACTCGAACGAATCCTCCAGAATAGAGAGCAGTAAAGCCTCTTTGCAATCATCTGAACAGGGTGGGAAGTCAGATCGATCGAGGCACGCCCTGAGAGCAAGAGATAGAGTCCAGGGCGAAAGATCCAGCGCTTCCTCCTGAAGTAAAGTAGGCAGTTCGAGCAGATAGCTCTGAGCAAGTTCTTCATACATTTCCAGTACATCTGTACCCAATCCGAAGATAGCTGCAATTTCTGTGGAAAGGTATACGTTCAGCGGAGAGAAAGGCTCGGTTTGCTTGGAGGGTGACTGTGAAGACGTAGGACTAGTTGCCCCTGTTGCAAATCTCCGTGATTTCCACTGCAGTTTGTGAAATCTCGTCACGCCGTAGGCAGAATGACTTCTTGGAGTAGGCTGGTACCTTGCCGGTAGGAGTTTGGATGCCTTTGGAAAGAGCCCGAAGAGGAGCGCCCGCCCGTGTATTTCAGCGGACCGCTTCGAATTCTCGCGCATCTGGCACGTGGGAAGTAACCTCCGGTACAAATGCAGTAAATGATGCGCAGCCGAGGAGAGAATATGATCCCGCGCGGGAATATCGACTGAAGGGTTCTGCTCCATAGCAGCAATGCCTTCGTACCATACAGTCAGCATTATGGCTGCGTCTAGAGGGTTTTCGGATGAAAGATGATTATCAATCCACCGGAGACATAGCTGGGCACTCCCACGATGGAAGTCCTCATGAAAGTCTAGTGCGTCTTTTAGATTTGGCCAAAAGAAGCAAATGGCACTTTTCCATCTAACCATACTGAACGAGTAACTCCAGAACTCAGATGAATATAGACATGGTGAGACAAGCTGTCTGCCCTGCAATGGCTCGAGGAGGTCTAGGAAAACCTTGACAATACTCAAAAGGCTTTCAACGAGTTCGAGGCTGGATTTCCAAGGTATCTGTAGAGGCGTTTCTTTTTCCAGCAGAGAGTCATCGCAACCGTTCAATTCCATTCGGATAGAAAGACTGGATGAAATTCGCGCAAGCATCTTCATGTTGCTCATTCCTGCCGGTGGAATACACTTGAAGATCGACGTCTCTGAAAACTTCGTTCGGACATTACAAGTAAACTTGGGAAGCATGGTTCGATCCGAATACGTCCTCAAGATCTTCCGGCATTGAGAGCAAACTTCCCCGGTCAAAATCGTGCACTTGGAAAAAGAAGTCAGTGAGGCGTCAAACAAAAAGTTGGGAAGGTATACACGTACCTTGCGCTTGCTGTAGCGACATCCAAAGCAGGACAATTCACTTTTGTCGGGACGTCGGCTGTATATTCTTGGCTGATACATTTGTTGCTGACGATCCGCTTCTGGGTTCGTGTGGAAAATGAGGTTTTCCATTTCGCGGCCGGGTCCTGTCTTCCTATGGTAGGGGTTGGCTCTCACGCTTTGTGTGCTCTTGCCATGCTTGCTCTTCCCTCTGATAGCTCGGGTAGCGATGAGTGAGCTGGTATCATCTGTCGTATCGATGCTGTTCGTTGCCACAAGACTAGTCTCCGCCACCGGTGATAACTCATGCATTGTTGTAGCGAATGGATAACTAGCAGAGGGGTTCACATCCTCGTTCGATGTGGGAATGGCACAAGGAGGATCCCCGGTGCCGTAGTCGATGTTGTTGATCGCGCATGTTGGGAACTGGCTTGTGGCAACAGGTTGTGGTTCGACACCTTGCAGTGAGAGATTAGATTGTAGGTGATGGTATTGAGCAGGGGCCACGAGGGGAGAGGGCTGAGTTCCATGGTCGTATGGACTCAACATAGAAGGCAGTGTGTTGTGATGCGATGTTGCAAATGCCATCGGATCAATGGCAGTTTGCTGACTATGTGCCAAGTGACTATAATCAAGGTATCGGGAATTCAACAAAGTCGTGTCCTGAAAGTCGAGCTCCTGGGCATAATTGTGAAAGGCATTTGGGTAGGTGATGGTCTGCGATGATAGCTGTTCAGACCATGGGCCACCGTTGAACTCGTATTCGTTGCTACCATCATTCGAGATGCAGCCGTGATTGGGTACCTGGAGTGGGTGCACAGACATGTTGGTGTAGTTATAGGCCCCAGGATACCCCGTACTCGTCTCATCCGTGACAGTATCTGGATAGCCAGTAGCCACTGCACCTAAATGAGAGCTTACAGGAAGAGTTGTCGCATTCTGCATGATCTCCCAGCGTCGTTCAATATACTGCCATTCAGCCTGAGCAAGCTCTCGTTGTACATTTTCGGGTAATTCTGTCTCGTGTACCCGATGGTGTCTGGCAAGCCCCGATGATGGCTGGCTGAACTGTGGCGGCACCAGCGACGATGGCTGAGGGGCGTATTGTAGGTCGATGCTCGTCGATGGATCATGCAACACCATGGAATCGTCCGACAGTGGAAGATTGTATGCAACAGAGTTGTTAGCGGTTGCTTGGAGCGGTACATCGGGTGGTGGGTAGATCCATCCCGTTATATCTTCGTCCGGTTGTTCGGGATCGGCGACAAACTCGCGGTATTCCATGTCGAGTTGGCTCGCAAGCGCATGCGACAAGATGGGGGTCGATTAGGCCCTTTCGCACGACAATCCAGGAGCAGTGAGGTGCTAATAGTGTATTTTACGGTGGCGAATGTGTAAGGCTGATTGAACGTCCTTCGAGGATTGGAGTGGTGAGATGAAAGTCGACATGACGATAGAATGCTGAAAGCTTATGCTATTATACCAACGAGACGAAAAGCAAATGTGTTGATTGACAGGCAGAATCTTAGGGGTCAGGCTGAGTGGTAAAGGCTGGAGGACATCGCCAACACGTTCCGCAACCTGAAGCGGACTAGTCTACGCCATCCTCCACGTCGACCCATGCTTCCGCAGCCTGAAGGGACTTAGCGTCATTTCGCGTATGCAATGGCACTGCATCAACACCTGCATCATTGCCAGCGCCATGCTGTTCCGCAACTCAACAGCGACTAGCACCACCACGAGATACCGATGCTCATCGTTCCGCACCCAGATACAGATGTGCGAAGCAATTATGCCCCTAATCTTCACGATCTCGCTGCGCATAGACTTGATGCCTTGTTACCATACTTGTATTGCTATCTAGATGCTGATAAGAGGGCGGATGCCGAACTTCGTCAATCACAGAACAAGACCTCACCCCAGCCTAAGTCGAAGCTACATTTTCTCATCTCTTTCGATTGGGTGGTTGGCATAGCAGAGTCAAAGAATCCATAGCCTATCAATTCCGCCCTCTTGGCCCCCACATCCCCTGACCAAGCCACTCGGAAACGGCATCCAACCATGTGGACAAGATCAGATGTGCTTGCTCTCCTTCAGCTTCTTGCTATGATTGTCTTTGCGACAATTCATGCTGTATGGTGTTTGACCATTCGTCAAGGTGCGCGTCTTCGCCTTACTCGAGATACCTTGCTGACAGCACTAAAGTCGCCATGCGACGTAGCGCGTACGCTCCAGCCTGTCGTGATGGAGATGGGAGTAGGGGTCAGGCGCAGCCACTGTCACAGCCACGAACGCTGTCAAAGCCACTGCCACTGCCGCGCAAGTGAATGTTCTCCTCGAGTATTGCAGCGCAGCTATAGATATGCTTTTAGCCACAAACCATACCATCCCTAGGCTCCTCAACAACCTCCTCCTTCCCTCCTTTCCCTCCCTCTTCCGCATCCTCCCCACCCACAACCTTCTCCTCAACCCGTCCCCCCGGCACCAACCCCACACTCCTCTCTAACCCCACACTCTTCTCCAACCTCCTCCTCCTCTTTCTTCTTCCTCTCCATCTCCTCCTCCGCCCTCTTCCTCTCCTTCTTACTAACAGTCATACTCCCCTTCTCCAGCGCCTCTTTCGGCAGTGGTCTAACATACGGCTGACACACCCAGTACGGCCTCTTAACCCTCGCAACAGTCGCCAGAGAACTCTCATACGGATCTAACTCCACCTCTTCTTTTGCGTTCTTTGCATCGGCCTTCCCATCTTCCTTCACATCTTGGGCTCCCGTGACAGCGTCGTTGGCGTGCTCTTCTTCATACCCCATAATCCCCCCCTTAACCGCCTCTTCAACAAGCCTCAACACATTCTCAAACGCCTCAATATCGCCCGTCCGTGACCGCGCAAGCGCATCTCGTACGTTGTGGTGTTGAGAAACCAGCGGACGCAATAGATGAAAGAGATGGGCTTGCATGGCTGTGAGATTGGGGTTGCTTGCTTCCTTCTTCTTCGCAGCTTTAGACAAGGGTTTTTGTTTCTTCTTTGGCGGACTATCCTCGTGATCACCTGCTCTTTTGCCATTTTCTGCTGCATCCGTGTTCGTGTTGGACGTTGCTGTTTCTTCTGACTGTTTTGATGGGGCTTCGATCTCAAGTTCTCCAGGCATCCAGAGCGGTTTCCGTTGCGGTGGTTCCTGACCGAGTGCGTATTTGTGGATGATGTCCATGTACCGTCTCATCACAGCGTCCATCCTGTATCCACCTTTCCCGTCGCGGCCGCGCCAGTACTCTCGTCCTTCCTGGCCGGGCGGCGGTGGAGCGGCGAAAATGGTGGGGTCGTAGAGGTTTCCTTCTGCGCTCATGACGCCGTCTGCGCCTGTGGCTTCTAGACACGCGGCGATGTCTTCGTGTTGGAGGATGTTGCCGTTGGCGAATATGACGGTTTCTTTAGGAAGGTTCTCGCGTAGGTGGCGGATCATCTTCCAGTCTGCGAGGCCGGTGTTGTGGCCTTTTTGTTCTCGACGGCGGCCGTGCACTGTGATGATGCTTGCGCCGGCGTCTAGTAGTGTCTTTGCGTATGCGAGAGTTTTCTCTGGTGTTTCGAGGACACGCATCTTTGCTGTGACTGGGACATCCAACTCCTCGTGTAGCTTGCGTATCATCCTTGATATCAGATCCCAGTCTTCCTGCAGGAATGCGCCGTATTTCCCTCTCTTTGCGATTCCTTGTGGACATCCTAGATTCAGATCCACCGCATCGCAAAAGGGCGCAACGTGTTTTGCCGCGCGCAGAAAGTCCTCAGGGTCGTTGGAGCAGAATTGTACGGTAAGCGGTCGGTCGAACGCAGGGTTGCCGTCGAGATGTCTTTCCGATTCGGGTAGTTGTGAGAGGTGGTATTCGTCGCTGGGTGAGGGGATGGTCGATTTGAGGGGCTGGAAGTGCGCGTCGCGGTAGTTGCTCTTTTCACCGAACATCTTCGAGTGGAACATTGGGGTGTATGCTAGGAGGTCTTTCTGCTGAGATTCGGGGAGGAACGAGCGCGAGAGTAGTCGCCATGCCTGCAGTTGACGTTAGCCATCGTCTTTGCACAGGGTCGTATAGAGACGAAGAGACATACGAACTCTGACTGTTCGACCATGGGCGCAAGGATGAGCTTTGGACTGCCGATACTCTCATAGAATGCGCGCCCATGTAGTTTCCTCCTCTTGCCATTTGACTGCGCCGCTCCATTACTGTTTCCATTTTCTTGCGCTATTCCATTCCCAGTGTTGTGCAATGTCCCCGCCACATCCCCATTCTCCTGCACCGCTGTCTGAGCCATAGTCGCCATCTTCGCGCAGTATCGATTCGTGAACCCTCTCGCTAACCTGGGGGCGACGGCGCCCCCAAACACTTGAAGAAGAGAAGGACGTATGGCGACGGACGTCGAACGAAGTGAGGTTGAGCGCAGCGAGATCTTGTCGGTCAGCGAGTGTAGCGAGCGTAGCGAGCCCTGGAGTGCAGTAAAGTCGCAAACCCGTGAATGGCGAGCGAGTTCGAGTAAGACTAGGTCAAGCGCATAAACCAAGAAATAATCAAGGCAGTCTCGCGTATCTCACCAGATGTCTCGATGACTCGTGCGGTAAACGTCGTCGTGCTCGTCCAGCAAAAAAACGCCATCAGCACTCCACTGCATCTGACCAATCGGAGTGCGGGGTATCTCCGTATGGTGCCTTTGTGCGAACGAGGCACGGGGGGAGTCATGGACTTTGTTTGTGGTATGGAATGTCGTTTCTCTCTCTTCACTTATTTATCATTGTTCTTGGCTTACTGTTTTCGTATTTGTGTTTGGGGTTCTTGATGCTGGGGTAGGTGGGTGGAGATGTTTCTACGGCTTCATCCATGCTCGATACTTTACAAGGGAGATGCTAACATATAACACCTGTGTCCACGTCGTCTATAGTTCTCAACTACTAGGTTCAATACAGTCGATTCCAGCAACATGGTAGATTACCCACAAGCGGCATCCACATGCATCAAACACCTGCCCTTAGCCTCGCCCGACCAAAACCTGACCGACATCACGCCATCAGGGTACCACATCACAACATGCGAGTCACGCCAACTACATAGACATGCACATGCCCGCCACCTCGCTGATACAAAGGCATGGGCAGAAGTAGACGAAAGAGACCTCCACCACTTTCCCGCCTCCTACCCCTCTGCCTCCGCTCCGCCTCCCCGTCCCACCCACACATCACAACACATCCGCCACACATATACAAGCACATGCAGCTCTCACAGAACACCAACATACACAGACAATCAGAATATACCAATGTAATTTCATCTCATCTCAACACCATCTTGCTCGCATATCATACCACATGATAAAACATATACAACCCAGCCGAACAACCATCAGCCAACCGCCCAGAACCGTCCAAGTCATGACGATACGCGGTGATGTGCGATGGACGCACGGCTTCTTGAAATACGTGCGTCCGTCGCACATCACCGCGTAGCGCCATGATCCGGAACTGGACGGTTTCACCGAAAAGAAAGACCATCTCCAACAATCATTATATCTGGATATCTTCGTCGGCCGTAAAACACAGTAACATCTTCTGTCGACTCCACAAAGGGAGATCCAGACAGAGAGAGAAAAGAGCACTCTCTATAAGTTGTTGAAGGAAAACGCTGAATCGCAAGGACAAGAGACAAAACACACACAGACCGCCCCCGGAATTGATCAAGACGCCATGTTGGAAAAGCAAAAACAGGACTCCGGTATTATGCAGTTTAGTTGATGCAGATGCAGAAAGGCTTCGTGTCGAGGTCGAAGCAAGTGAAAAGGTGGAATGGGACCAGTGCCGTTACGACAATACTGGACCCTCCGGATATCATCAAAAGAGAGTACGCCAGGAGCAGGAAGTCCGATCGGTCCGTCCGTCCGTCCAGGTGTCATGAAGATATGAAGTAAGTTGTGCAGGCGGCGATACAAGCAAACGCCCATGTTTAGAAAGTGCTCCAGTTCCATGTACCCTGGAAGCTCTGTGCGAGGCTGCCTACGCGCGTGTTCTCAGGACGCTTAGCCGGGACAGGAGTCTCAATGGATTTGGCGGGAGCAGGGCTGGAGTTGCTGCTGTCGGAGCTCTCGCTGTTGGTGCGGCTGGAGCGGAGGTGCTCCCACTCGCGGAAGGAGCTGTGGCAGCGGTCGCAGGCACGGTGCCAGTGGCCTTCTGGGTGGAAGCGGGCGAGCTCGTCGAGACGCACGTTGTTGCGCGAGTGCTGCCAGCAGAAGATGCCGCCGCACTTGCGGCAGTGGTGGCGCCGCTGGAAGAAGCCAAAGGGCTCCTGGCAGCTGGATGCCGAACACACCGATGTGGAACCGTCGGCCTAGGGATGAGTTAGTGGGGATTCTGGACGCAACGGCAACTCTGTATTGTGGACAAGTGGACAGGTGTCGCTAGCCCGAACAGCCCGGACTCCAGCCCTGCATCGGGTAAAAGTCTAGGTATAGGTCTAGCGTGGGGGACGACGTGTGCATGTCTCGACAGCCGGCAGACGATGGAAATTATCCGAAGGCCATGGCGAGGCGACATGCACAACATGATCGACCTTGGCCGCCGAGTTTGCCCCCCAGGCGTCTTGTTGAGCTGAGTTGGAGGGCTCGGCATGTCGGCTCTGCAGACAGCGGGAGGCCAGACCAACGCGCGCTAGGCGGTGGGACCGGACCATGTACGTAAGACGGTCCCCTCGCAGCCCAGGTGAGCACGCGACAGGGAAGCACGGACAGGCTAGCAGCGGCATAGCGGACAAGTAGGAAAGGCGCGAATACATACCTGCCAGTGGTTGCGTGTGATTGGCCCCGCGACGGGCGACAATGGTTCGGCGTTGTAGAGGCTCTGCATGTCTTCATTGCCAATCTGCGAGACGGGCGTCGCGCTGCCCTCGTTGGCGACCCACCCGTACGTGCCAGCCGACCAGCCCTGGTTCGGGGACGACACGCCCGAGTCGACCTTGGGCGGTGACTTGCTGCTGGGCTTCTCTGTCTTGCGCAGCGCCGCGGGGATGCCGATGGCGGTGCGCGGCTGGTAGATGCCCTGGTGGCGGGCGAGGGGCAGGTGTGTGGTGCGCGGCGACGTGGGCGAGACGTTGGCGGGCGTGTTGACGCCCGAGTGGGTGGGCGAGTACTGCGAGTGGGTGCTCTTGCGGTAGGCGTGGTGCTGGTAGGGTGCGTGTTGCGGGATCGCAGTCGCGGTTGAGAAGGTCGTGGCCATGGTGACGGGGGGAGTTGAGGTTGGCGATGACGGAATGAGGTTGAGGTTGGCGAGAAGTCGCGAGAGACGTATAATACGTGGTGCAGGCGGTGAAGTGCTGCGCTGGTATTGGTGCGCTGGAGGTTCTGATACAGCGCTTTGGGAGCGGGAGGCTATCAGTGGCTCTGCAGTGGTGCGACGGGTGCAGACGACGCTGACAGGCCAGCAGGACGCGTGCGGCTCCTTGGGGACGGTTGGGGACGTGTTGGTGGTGAGGGTGCGTGTCAATTGGTAGCTGACGTGCAGGCGATAAGAGACGAGGGCGGTGATACAACAGACGCCGGGGCCAACAGTCGACCGTGGTTTAGCAGGACATGATAGTGAATATAGTCGTGGTCGTGGTAGTCGTCGTATGTAAATGTGATTGATATGCGTCGAGTGAGGCGGATATAGGTGTAGATAAGAAACAGCGGTGTCGCGTGAGTGCGGAGGAGACCCGGGGTGAGGCTCTGGGGACAGGATGAATTAAGTTGTCGCCCGCCAGCTGCTCCAGCGACCTCTTCCCAGCAGCGAACTGACGGATGGGCGGCCATGCCCGAAGGGGGATGCCTGCACCCTTGGCGACCGACCGAACGACAGGGTATCATCGGGCTACGACCGGCCATTTGGAAGATTCTAATTGTAACATGGCCGTCGCATCGAGCTCGCTGTCCTCACGCTGCCCTCCCACTCTGCTTGAAAAGACTCGAAAACTACAAGTTCCAGGCTGAGAACAGGCTCTATGTCCTACGCGAACGCCCCATTCCCCCCTTCCCCAGCGCAACCCTCATTCCTTCACCACGACCGTTGCGCCTCTTCTCGAGGCGGCCAGCCGTTGGGCCCCACTGTGCCCGTTTGGGCGTCCCTTATCTCTAACCAATCACACCCTCTGCAAAAGAAAAGCAACGCCTCAACCTTCTCCGAGGACGGAACTGCTGCGTCAAGCGTGAACTCATTTCCTGGGGGCGTCGGTACAGTGATGACATAGCACTCACCCCATATCTTGATTGCGACACCCTGCGCAAACGCAAGAAGAGGCGGTGATGGACGTTGATAGACATGATAGACATGGCTTGACATCACAGCTAAACGACCAGGCAAGTATGCCGCGAGAGGCGCCACACACCCTACCATCCCGCTCAAGTACGGCCAGCTTGCAACAACTGGCGGGGCATTTGGCCACACTACTGTATTCAATTCAATGCACCTCATCCACTCTGTAGCCACGCGAGCAAGGCGCGCGCGACGCAATTATCCAATATATTATGCTCCACTCCAAGTGGAATTGAGGCTATTCGGCCAGAGCGAGGGGATGGCGGGCGGGGGAGGTGGAGGGGTGGTGGTGGACGTCAATTGAATCTACTTACTTGGGTGTGTGAAGTCTGTAGGTGCGTCTTGATGAGGCCATCATGCCATGCGTGCATCGTGAAGCGCTGCTAACAAATTGAGGCTATTCGACCAGACTTCACGATCTTTGATGATGTGGAACCGCGTAATGAAATCGTACCCACTTGGGCGTAGGCGTAGCGTCGTTGTTCGTATTGGTGTTGTGACCGTGCGTGCATCGTGAAGCGCTGCAGCGATCCCCGGTTGTGGTTTTGACATCGTACCAAACCTTGCGACGCTGACATCCGAAGACTCCCCACCGTATCCGCAACTTTCCTGAGGGAACCACGAGGAGCCTGGACAAAGTTTCTGGTGACTGAACTCTGATTAGAGTCCTGGTAATGCCGAGTGTAATTGCACGGTACGTTCTCGTCACATTTACAGTCAGAGACGTCCGTGGATGAAGTCACGA